TATTGAGACGAAACGTTGGGCATGCCTCCAACTCTGATGAATTGTTACTGATTGGTGGTTCAGCGCGTGGATAAATTCCTTGAGGCAGCGCACAGCAACAGGGCAGATCAAATCGCCTGCACGGGTCCCAACAAGTACTTAGCCACGAACCACCCCCAGCCCAAACCGCGCCATGTCCTCCTCTCTCAGCCGCCCCGCGTCTCGGAACGACTCGCGAATCGGGTCGTCCTGCGCGGGCTCGACGAGCCCGGACACGTCCGCGAGCCAGTCCGCGCCGCCGACCGCGTGCGCGGCCTTGTCCGCGACCGTGAGCGGCCCGTGGCAGTCCAGCCGCGCGTTCTGGCGGTGGCGCTGCAGGCTGTCGAAGCGCGAGAACGTCTTGTCGCACCGCAGGCAGCCGTACCCCGCCGCGCCGTGCGCCGTGTCCATGTGGCGCACGCGGTCCTTGTGCAGGCCGTACGTCCTGCCGCAGCCGCGGTACAGGCAGGGGTAGCGCCCGGGCGCGGCTCTGGGCTTGGGTTTCGTGCTGGCAGCAGGCGGCGGTCGGTGGCTTCTTTGCACCTGCGGGTGGGGCGTGGCGTGGCGTCAGCTGGAGGATGCAAGAGGGAGGGAGGTACTCACCGGCGTATGTAGCACGTCATCTTGGTCTTGGATATGTGGTGCATCGGACCAAGCTGACGATTCCCGAGTCGCATTCGGGGGATCAGCCTCCGAGGACAGCGTCTCTTCTGGTGTCCTGGGACTTTTTCCCTCGATAGCAAGCATGTCTACGCCGAGCGTCGTATCCGACCTCCTGTCGTCGTCGTTATCCGAACTCGGAGTGGTGCTGTTTTCGCCTGTGTCCCAGATCGCTGGGACCAAGCGAAGCGTGAAAGAGGTCTTGAAGGTGCAGCTGGATACCTTGACGTCTTCCTCTGCAGACAGCATTCCAGCGTTGACTGCGGTGTGAGACCGCTCGCTGTCGTTGTCGTCTGTGGCAGCATCCATGATGGCCGTATGCTGTTCTTCGAGAGCACCATCTTGTACGCTGACACCAAAATCAGAGAGCCCATATCCACCCTGTCGAAGTTTTGCCTTCCTTTCTCCGTCGAGATCCCGCCAATGATATGTTGGCTCTTCCTCCTCGCAAGACAGCTCTGCAACGTGGAGAGGCCGTTTGGTCTTGTGTCGGGGTCGCTTTCGAGCCTTGTAGAAGCGACAGATGCTACCCGGCGCCACACAAATGACGCGTCGAGGACCAAGCTCGATATCTTGCATGATGATACCTTCTTCGACTTGTGCTGCAGTTGTTCCCTTTGAGGTATGAGGAGGGGGCTGACGGGGCTGCTGCTGCGCTACACGCGTGTTCGCGGAGCGATGCATATCGACTGGGGGCGGCTGCGCATCAAACGAGTGCGAGTGTTATATGTGCTGCGCCGAGCAAGAGGCGTCCATTCTGGGAAAGTCTCCAGTCTGGAGTTGCACATGCCACTGCCCTGGAGGCCGTCGTGTACAGCGGTGGTTTCCGGATGCGCATCAAGCGGAGCCCCATATTAGGGAACTGTGGACGACTGACTCAGTGGACAATGAAGGCCGCGGAGGAGAGCGCCTGTGTTGTTTTTTTTCGCGTTTTCTCCGGCTATTTGACCCTATTTGTCTTGTTACCGCGTATGGCAGCTGCCTCGTGGCGTGGGACAGCTGGATGTGCCGCGGTGCCGGCACTCAACGCAACTCGGGGCGCGACGCTCGCAACAGCGACGAGCAGCCCAAAAGTGAGCCTCATCCTCCGCCCCCTCATCTGCCACGACTTACACGCATCCCACGAGATGCTCAGACTCCCTTCAGCTCGTGCCTGCGTCGCCTCACGAACATGCACGCTGCATCCCCGACGGGCAACGGCAGCTCGCTCATTCGCCGCGGCGGCACTGCCTGACGCACACACACAGTCGATCGCGGGCACAGTCGCACACCACCGCTCCTACATCCTGCTGCACACGCGCGTCCCGCCGCCCGCATTCCCCGCCCGCGTGCCCTCGCCGCTCCAACGCCAGCTCCAGCTGCGCGCCGCGCGCTGGGGCGGGCTCGTCAACTTTGCCTGGCTGCCCCCCGATGAGGCTGCGGAAGCAGCAGCAGCAGCAGCGGCAGGGGCCGTGCACAGTCCAGAGTGGGAACCCAATGAGGAGGAGGAGGAGGAGGAGGAGGAAGCGTACCGCGTCTCCGCGTACGCGCAGGACCGCGGTCGGATCGATATCCCGCGCGTGTCGATGGCGAACGTCGACGAGGTCGCTGCGGCGCTGCAGAGGCATGTGGACGCGAGTCCCAG